TCCTCTGTATTTTCTCTGCCGTGGCGACTGACCTGAAGAAAGAGTAGCTTGGCCCAACGTTGTAGAGCGCGGGGCTGAGCTCCATCTCCGGATAGTGACGCAGGTCGCTCTTGATCGAACCCAGGCCCATGGCAAAGATCACAAACAGGACAGGAAGCAGGATCTGGGACATCAAGCCCTTCCAGTCTCTGCGGCTGTGGTGGAACCTCTTGACGAGTATGGCCGACACCTGCTGCCAGGCCAGGGCCATGCCCTGCACCGTGGACGGACTGGTGAGCTCTGAAGCACAGAGAAAGGAGATTGGATCCAGGAGATGATAGTTTTGGGGGCTAATTCAATCATCGCCTTACTACCTTGATGCTGCCGCCTTTTTTCTCGGCGAAGAACACTGAGCTAAAGGTTATCGGGCGGATTGTATCACAAAAGACATTTGCAATCTATCAAGATGATTGTTCCACTTGTGGAGGTTGTGGAACAAAGTCAGCTGAGCAGTGGCCAAATATTTCAGGTGATGTATGGGAATGTAAAATTGAAAATAATGAATTGAGGTTAAAAAAAAGAGGATGTTTCAGCATATTTTTCATTAACTTTTAAATGGACATGATGTGTGCAGGTGATAGAAATAAAAAGGAGAGATAAGCAAAGTAAGGAAGAGAGGGCGAGGAGGAGGAGGAGGAGGAAGGAGACGGGGGGAAGGGTGAGGAAAAAAATGAGCGAACTCACCGATCTTGTCACCGAAGCCGGAGCCGCTGTCGCTGTGGTCTGAATGGAAGCTGTCGAGGGACGCCGTGTCAGAGACCGTCTCTGAGATAGACAGGAGGCCGTCCTCAGCTCCTGTGTTTCCATGAGTCAACTGGAGGAACACCTACACAGATAAAAACAACACATTACCATCTGTGTACTTTAAAGAGCCTGTCAGTGTAATTTCAGACGCTGCTCACATGTCAGTCTGATAAAGTTTAGGATGATTGGCACATTCTTTTGTCTCCGCCGAGTCTGTGCTATAAACCTGTGTTCTGGTGTGTGGGTGAGTGTGAGTTTACCTCCTCTAGCGTGGTGTCAGAGATGCCATAGCCCCCCAGCTGTAGGGCGTCCAGGTTGGAGTCCAGCGCGGTCAGGAGGGAGCGGTATGAGGAGGCGTTGGATGAGGTGAAGGGGGGCAGTGAGTAGACCAAGTCGCCCCCTTGGGCCTCTTTTAGCCGTGCTTCAGGTACATGGGTTTGGATGAAGGCCTTCAGTTCAGCGTTGTCAATCTTCTCGGATTCTGAGTTTTGAATCTACAAATTTTTTTAAAAAAGCACAAAAAATGAAACTTTGCTTTTCTCCGACTGCACACGACCGTCCGTTACTGAATCTTACAGTAAAATAAGTAAAAGTTCCCCAAGAACTATCCACTTGTTGTGTCATGATAACTACTGATAAGGCGTTGTTCTTGCTTTGAATTAATGCGTTGTCTAAATAAGGTACCTGGCAAAGCATTTAAAGATAAGATAGGAAACTGGCAACACATTTCTTGACACAGCCCGAGGGTTTGTGCCTCGAGGTTGTTCAAGTGACTGACACACAGAGGGGGCTTTTCACAGAGCTTGAAACTGAAAAAAAACACAGAATATTGAAGGACACCTTTAGGTTTGACCACAATACATCAATGGCACGTATGAAGCTATAGTTATTCATCCATGAGGATGAAAAAGAAATGAGCCAACAGGCAGCGCCTACAGCTGGACGTTACAGCGCGCTGAAAAATTCAGCAGAGCATCCTTCGTGTGGGGGTTTAGTCCATCTGCCAGTTTTTCAATATATCAGATACAAATCCCACTATTGCAATATGTCCAATGTGGCAAAGATAAAACCGAGGATTTATTTCCGCATGAACAGTCCAGCTCCTCCATAATAACGTACTATGAAATGTACCAATTTATGCTGTCCATGTACAGTCCAAGATGTATCACTGTTAAGAACCAGCCGGAGTAAAATGCATTAGAGATGTGCCGGTACTCCCTCGCTGTTGAAACAAAGATTGTGACCTATGATCACTTCGTATTCACGTAGAGTACACTGTTAACATGTAGGACTGAAACCACGGGTGTAACATGGAGTACTGGCCTAACAATGAATATATTAAAGAAGAAATTTTCATGATAATTTCAAGCTGTGGGGAAAAACAAACACGATTCTGATGCTGTACCATAAGTCAAGTCTCCATTGCATTTGGAACTGGGGGGGGGATTACCTTCTTGGTGAGGGTGAGTTTGTAGCCCTGACCCAGCTTGTCTTTCAGGTAGAAGGGGGATCCGCAGCATTTTAATCCTCCTCTTTCCAGGAAGGCGATGCGGTCGCTCAGCACTTCAGCCTCATCCAGGTGGTGGGTGGACATGATGATGGTGCGCTCTGAGAGGACGCCATCCATTATTTATTCATGCATTACTACATACCACTCACTAACAGGGAGCTTATAGTAAAAATGTGTGAAAGCGTACGAATTTATGAAGCAAAAAAAATAAAAAATCATATGGCTCTCTAGCAGTAAAATGCAAAGGAGTGAGATTACCAGCCAAGCCAGTCTGCAAGGCTTTGTCAGAGCATCAAGGCTTTGACAGCTCCAAATAAACAAGCACAAAAAAAAAAAAGACGTTACAAAGACAACGATACACACAAGATATGTCGTGCACACAAACAAGCGGCGCTCGAGAAAGTTTATTTTGAAATAGATTCTCCTGACACCGAAAATCTCACTAAAACCTGAGACGGTGCCAATTACCGGATATTTTCCACATCCGCAATCACATGACACTTAACAGTCTCGCTGCCAAAGAGAGCCTCAAGAAAGAAAAAGAAATGGGTGTGGATTAGTTTTAGGTTAATTGTAAGGTAATTTCCAGCTGGGGAAAGCCCAATAAGGTCTGCTGCTCACTGCTGCTCCGAGAAAATAGATGCGAGGGGGCGTCTTTAGAGAAAAAACACTAGAGTGGGAGTTTGGATCATCTGTGCCACACTACGGATTGTGAATTTCTCTCCCAACGATTAGACTAACAATGTACAATGCAAAGTAATGAATTACACTTGTATTGTGTAGCTGTTGCAGTGGTTCTACATTGTAGGGTAATAGGTTTTTCACACTGCGCGTTACATAAATAAGCAAGTCAATTAAATTACTATATGACCTTTTCAAAAAAAAAAAAACATAGTGCTTTAGAAGTGCACAGAAAATATAATATCATAAAATACAAGAAGAAGTTTGACAAAGAGTCCAGCATAGAGAGATAAAACAAATTAAAAGAACAATATAAAACACTGGGGTAATAAGTTATGCCAGCAAAACACCAGGCAACACAGGAGGGCTTTTAAAGGGCTTTAAAAGCAATCAACTGATCATTAAACTGGATTTTAAAACAAACAGGGAGTCAGCCAGGAGATATTTTCTCTGCTTCTGTGTGTTTGTCGGAGTCCACGAAGTAAGAAATGAGGCCGTGGATGAGTTACCGTAATAACCGCTACAGATATTTGTACAGACGTGACGGTGGATGAATTAAAGGTAAGGAGGGTCCGCCGAGAGAGCTTATTTACACTTCTCACATTTCTGAGCTGTGCCACTGGGTAGCAGTAACAGCAGTGGTCAGCAGCAGCAGCATCAGTTTGGAGATCTTTCTTAAATCAAGATAACAGGAGTGATTTCTTTTTCATTTGTATTGTTTTTTCATTGTGTCTGTGAGACTCACGTTTCTTGTGCTGGAGAACAATGTCCCAGATGCTGCGCCTGGAGCAGGGATCGACTCCTGTGGTGGGTTCATCCAGAACCACCAAGCGAGAGCCCCCTATGAAGGCGATGGAGATTGACAGCTTGCGCTTCATGCCGCCTGACAGGGTGCCCACCCGCTTGTGTCTGTGAGCGTACATGCCTGTCTCCTCCAGAATCCTGGCAGGGGGGGGGTTCAAAGAAAAGCATTTAGCATGGAGCTCATGTTAACACACTTTTTTTTTTTTTTCAAAATGCATTAGAGCTCAGTTTCTGAGGTGTAGTTCCATCAGTTCCATCAGTTACCCAGCAGGGGTTTTCTGAATTCCTGGAACCAGAGGAGAGGCACTCTTTTCTCGCCTTTAGGTTCAGGCTTATTACTGATCCTTCTGTCATGTGGGAACCCTCCAGAAATAGTCGCATGATGCAACTCACGACCTACAGCCTAATGACGCCACAGAATGAAAAATGAATTCCCCACAAACCAAGAAGACGCAAAGGGACAGAAAGAGATAAAAAAAATGTGTTCTGCGTGACACAGGGAAAAAAATTGCTCAGTTTTTTCGAAAGATTGCTCTGAGAAAATGAACATTTTCAACCTGACTGTAGAAGTCAAGATTTGGAGCATAGATTATAAGAAAAACAAGCATAACAATTATATTTCGTTAACTACAGGTAAGCTTGCACCGAAGTTCACAAATCACAACAATTACAGCCATAAAATCGGTTTGACAGCCACCATCTGAACGTGCATATTTCCAGATTCCCAGCCACTGTTGTCAAGCACTGGCTATTACTTCTTATGAAGCCCTCATAACTCCTACACACATTTCCTTTTTTTATTGGAGGGCCCTGCCATCAACAGAGCAAAGGACACTGTTTAACGGCGTCTTAAAGAAACACATTGTAAACAAAATCATTGCAGCCAATGAAACGGTAGCGCTACATCATATAGACATCATCCGTACGCCTCAGAGCTTTTTGATGCAGCTCCGGCGGATTATGTGGTCACTCACGTGCGGACTTGTTGGCGCAGCTCTGTGTTGGACCAGTGCGGCGCCTTGATCTGGCCGTACAGCAGCAGGTGCTCCTCGGAGGTCATGTGCTCAAAGAGGACGTCGTACTGCATGCAGACGCCCAGGTCTTGGCGGACAGCGTCGATGTCTGCCTGCATGTCTCTGCCGTAGACCTCAATGGTGCCCGAAGTCGGGGCAAAAAGGCCTGTCAGGAGCGACCTACGCACAGAGCATTTGAGTAACCATATTAAAATAAACATACGCAGAGTTTTTCAATCAGAGTTGCTCCTATTTTGGACATGAAAAGGTTAAAAATGCCCTTTGTTTTTGCCTCATTTGCTATTTTCCTGTAACATTCCCCCGTAAATGATGCTTTGTTGGTCCTAGAAATAACACAGGATATAAAATCTCCTCTTTGTGTTTTTCAGCGTGGTTAAATCATCTTCTGCTGCCGCATTCATTGTATTTTGCCCTGGATGAGAGCATCAGCAAAATGAGTCACATTTAAAATGTAAATGTAAGTGCTCCAGTTGATGAAGACCCGTCAGGCTAATCTCTGGCACGGTGCATTTGCTGCGCCAGATTTGGACAAAACAATCCACTTGTCAGCAGCAGACCCTTGAAATGATTAAAGGGACGCACGCATGATACATGTAGGGCGCATTCAGCATATCGTGGTCAATATGTGTATTCATCTTAATCTAGGGTTTGCTGATATAGTAAAAAAAAAAAAGAGAAAGAAGAAATTCATGCCCCACATACATCGTGGTGGTCTTGCCGGCTCCGTTGTGACCGAGCAGCGAGGTGACATGGCCCTCATAGAAGGAAACATTAAGGTTTTCAATGGCCGCTTTGTCGCCGTAGATCTTGCTGAGGCCGTGGAGGGCGACGCCCACTGGGAGCTCTGAGAAATTCTCGCCGGCCGTGGAGGAAAGATTGCTGGTGCCTGAGAGAAACATGGCAGCAGAAGCAACGCGTAAATCAAACTAACAGCGGACAGGAATTAAATGAAGAGTGAGAGGAAATATAAATGTGGTGAAGTGTCAGGCCTTAAAAAAAATGACAGGCCATGAAAGTAAAGACATCATGTTTCTCCTTGTACAATTTATTTTATTTTTCTTGTACCTTTTCCCTTGTCGTCGGAGAAGACGGGCTGATTGTTCTGCATGATGTTGGTGAAGAGGAGCCCTGTGCTCATCCTGCTCTTTGACTTCCTGCAGGAGCACAGGTCGGCCCAGAAGGAGAGTTTGAAGGGGAAGTACCACGGGGCGGGGATGCCGTATTTTCCTGATTGATAAACAAAATGCAAAGAGAGCTTACATACATAATACATGAGAAACTATTCAGAGACATGTGCACGAAGCAAATCTAACCCAAGTTGTATTTGCTTCAATTAGGGGTTAAGTAATATACAATCCTCTTGATAGTTGAACCCTCTGGACTCCAAAACCTGCCAGCGGGTTTAACATCATTAAAAAAATCATCAAAATTACACCATTTATCAAAGTGAGGATCGTCAGATTTTCCTTGAACTAGTCATCTGCAACATGCCCCTCTGTCTTAAAACCCAAACCTAAGCTTCATCAAAATCACTTTACTGTAGATGTTTCATATAAAACTCTGTGAATGAACAAAAGATGCTACACCCCGTGGTGCAACTGTGAAGCCACAAAGCGACTCAGCTGCCACCGACGACAAAGTGACAAAGGAGGCTGTGTTTACTCAGAGGAGAGAGGAGACAAGAATGGAAACCAATTAAAAACAGTAAAATATCTATAGTATGAAGAGTCGTCCTTTTTATTTTTAGCGATGCAAAAAAAATCCCTTTTTTAAAACTGCAGAAAATTTGACTTCTCTACCCATCTAGTCATGATTGTAGGACTTTATATTGCCGTGAAAAATGACCCCACATTGAGGAAAAATGCAACAGGAGCAAATAAACACCCAGAAACTGCTACGGGTTCTGTTACCGAGGGCGGCCGGGTGTTAAGCTAATGTCACTGAATTCACCACAAATGCAAAACAACAGAGAGTTTTCTCCTCATTAGATGTCAACCAGAGTAAAAAGTCATTTGGTGTGTTTCTCCCACAATTTTACAAACACAATGCTACTCCGGATTTTGTTCTGCTCTCATAACGCCGCCATTGTGTTCAAGATCAGCTGACCAACAAAATACAGGTTCTATATTTAACCATCGATATCCGGACGAATGAGGGAAGACCGACGTTTTCGTAGTACTACAGTTTACCTGGAAAGACCATGCGGATGTAAGCCCCGACGATGAAGTAGAGGATGGAGTCGATGAGCATCAGCCAGCACAGCCAGCCGAACGAGGCCGTGTCTCCGGCAATGGGCGAGGTGTACGAGTTGCTCCACTGAATTCCTAAACGGGTTAACACAATGAAAGTTTCATGTAGCCTCCCACTGATTCAGTTAGCTCACATATCAGCGGCAGTCAGACGTCTGTATGCTTGTACCTTCTCCTTGGGCCTCGTAGCGAGAGGCATATTGACTGGCGTAACTGAAGCAGGTCGGGGAGAACAAACTCTGCGGGAAAATCAGAGAGAAATTAGACAGGATAAAAAAAAACAAGAAACAAAGCAAGAAAAAGAAGCCTCAGAAATATATATTTATGCTGTTTTTCACAATTCTCTTCATCCCCTTTGTATTTGCTCTTGACAACTCTGTGCAGTATGAAGAGATAAACTGCATGAAAGCCTTTTTTCCGACGTGATGTGAAGAGTTTGGTTCAAGGCGAGAGAGGCGTTAGATGTGTGCAATAATTGTACACTGCCTGACCTCAATTTTATGATCATCAGACAGCAAGGACCAAAATAAAAAAACACAGTTATATTTTCAGAGGTGCATTGTGTAAATGTGCACAGCTTGTTCGGCAAATAAAAAGATTTAAAAGGTACGAGTTTGTCTTCACTACACCCCTGCTTGTAAACCTCACATCGGTGAATTATTCAGACGTTCTCATTAAGGAACTAATACATTCTGAATCATTGTGTTAGTAAAATTGTTTTCTAGGATGGATAGAGTAAAGAAAAGTAAAAGCAAATGACATTTTATCTCCTTCTATATTCCTTATCTCTCCGGGGTAATCTTCCAGAGCAAATTACATTATTTGGTATTTAAATTATTACACGCGAGTTTAATACACGCGACTAAAGGAGGTTCAGAGGGTCCTTACCAGAAGGCTCTTCTGGGAAAAGGTGAGATTAGTCTCCATGGACATGACTATGATGAAGGGGAAGAAGCAGAGGATGTACAGGAGGCTGCCGCTCAGGCCGGCGATGTAGGTTTGGTCAAAGAAGGAGCTGACCAGGTAGCTGAAGGCCAGGATGCTCAAACCGTAGTCGCAGAGGTAGAGGAAGATGAGGAAACCGTCGCTGTTGCTCAGGATGTTGCCGTACTTCAGCACCAGCGTGAGGATGACGATGGTCAGCACCAGGTAGGCGGCACATTCCAGGAACCAGGCGAAGAAGTGGCTGAGCGGGTTGACCCCCATCATTTTCATGTACTGCAAAACACACACAGCTCAGTTTAAAGCAGAATGATTGAGGGATGGTAGTGTGTAATAACAAAACCAGGAAGTGTGTGACGGGGAACATTTAATTAAAGATTTGTGGCTGTTTTCAAAACTCAGACAGAAAGCTTCAGCGTATCACACTGTCAGCAGCTCATCAGATATAATTTGTGTTTATCGCTGACTGTGGGTGTCTAATTACATTTTAGAAAGTTAAAAAAAACAATACCTCATGCAGTCTCAGCTCTCGCTCGTGCACCAGTTTCTTCACAAATTGGGCCACGAACAGCACCCAGGCGATCATCAGCATGAGCGGGAAGACAAAAGAGATGGCCTCCAGGTACCTGGGGAATACAGAGACGCCAGCTGTCAATCAAACTCCAAGAGCACCTAATCACTGTCAAAAAATAAATAAATTAAAAAAAAGCAAATCAAAAGGCCTATCATTCAGTCCCCGGCTTAGACGGGGAAAGAGTAATATTGGGGAGGGTTTGGGGGATGTTCTGATCCTTTACATGAATAAATGCCCCTCTATTTATTTATTTTTATTTTGTTCAACCGGTCATATGTGGAGCCTGATATATAGGATTTTAGTGCTTATATATTACGTATCCATATTTCACTGCTATCATGTCAGGATTTGTGTTGTTGAGCAATAAATCAGACGGGAGGGAGAGGCGAGGATCATCGTATCTTATGGCTGGTCACACGGCAGCCAGCCAGAGACAGTGGCCCGCTGGTGCTTCTTAGATGAGATATCAGCGCTGTCTTAAGTCGCACTTGAGGGCAAGCACAAACACAGGCATTAAGTTCAAGCATGATTTATTGGAAACAATGTGGTGTATCGATGCGCAGGGTAATGCCAAAGCCACGCTGGACTGGAAATATACTACGGTGTTCTTCATAGATGCTTATTAAAGGCCTGAAGGGTGTTTGAGTGTGGATGTGTGTATATAAAATGAATGCACAATAATAGTGAATATTCATGCACATGGTGCAGAGCCAGCTATAATGTGACAGGTTCCCGTGAATGACTACTTACTGTCGCTCCCAACTGGCAAATGAATAATGAGAGCGTGTGTGCACTATTCCACATCAATGCTTGTATCCCCTCTGAGACGCCGTGTATCCTTTCAAATGTCTGTGCATGCATTAATACGGGAGCACGTTTGCACTGTACGTGGGTGCGTTCGTTTACACTACATGCGAGCGAGGGTTCAGCGATTCAGGAAACTCACTCATCTCGAAGAAAGCATGGATAGGGGAAGGGTTGTATCTGCACGGCTGTGTCTGTGACTCTCCGCCCAGTCTGGCTCTCAATGATAGCCCGATCAATGTTCTCCTGCAGGTAGACGAATCCACGGTTGTAGCGCATCTTGGTGCTGCCCTGCATGTGCGTGTCCTTCACAAAGTAGGGGTCCCGGACTCTGTCGGTACGCATGACATTGTCCATGTGCATGCGGATGGTGTACTTGACTCTGGGAGGCAGGGAGGACGTGGATCTGGCCTTCCTGGATGAATCCTCATCTTTGGGAAGCTTGAAGATGACACCTTAAAGACAGATTGTACCATCTGTCACCGCACAAGCTTAAAGAACAAAATTCAGTTACCCGAGTGACGCTTCATTGCCCCAGATAAACTGTCGCAGAGTCGTATCTCCTGTAAGCTTCCTCATCATTACCGACGGGCTTTAGAGAAAGCACAGGCAGCAGCACAGACGCAGGTCCAGAAAAAGCTGTGAATTACTGCACAGTCAAGAGGAAATTAACAACCTGGGTGGCTGTAAAACTGAGCTGTAGCCCTCTGTTGTGCAGAACCTAATGGGTAATCTACTGGGATTCTTCTTATTACAAAGGGGAAGTTTAATCAATATCATAAATCTTTTTTTTACTGTATTACAGTGTGGGTGAATTAAGACGACATGCACATAATTCAGCTGTCAAGGAATGCAAAACGAACCAAAATCAGCATCCACTCAAGCAAATTGGACACCGCTGCCAGGCCTACATGCATGTTACGCTGTCCGGTGGATCTGTACGACTCCTTTAACAGACGTCTGGACGAACTCAACTACTCACTTGCGTAGAGGTTGCGGTTTTTGGCGAGCTCCTGAGCTTCTGAGTTGAGCTGGTCTTCAGAGTCGAAGCCACGGTAGCGGTCGAACTTGACGCAGGAGGAGAGGCTCACCATCAAGGTGGACAAGGTGGTGATCTGCTTCAGGATGTGTTTGTTCTGCTCCAGCATCAGCGTCATGTTAGCTGTAAAAGGTAGGCATTCAGAAGTTCACTGATTGGGTTAAAGCGACCCTAAGTGCAATTCCTGCTTTGATTGCTACTAATCCAAATGAAAATAACATTAGCTGTGCCTTCTCTGTGTCATCCTCCGTTCTGTTTCATCTTAACAAAGACGGAAATACGGTCTGACAATACAAGTAATCAAATTAAATACACGTATGTCAAAGACAGGCCTTGTGGAAAAGAATGACTGACATGTATAATCACATCAAGGAGAGGCGCCTTAAGAAATCCTCGCAAAAAAAAAAACAGGTCTAAAGCTTCCTGTACTGTAAACCTAAGGAGGAGTCCTATTTTCTGATAGCGTGGATATTTTACAGGTAATAAGTGAGCAAGGAACATAAAGGTAAGCCCGGTATCTGCAGCTTACAAAAGTAAGACCTTCAAATGCTCACTCACAGAAGTTGCTGAGCGTCTCCTTCATTCTGCCGACATTGATGTCTGTCTGCATCTCAATGAAATTCTTCACAAAGGAATTGCCGAGGGAATTCTGGCAGAGGGGGAGAGAGAGTGTGGAGGAGACGATGAACAACATCAAGATTCAGCTGCTGAATCTCATTGCGGACCACTGCAAAGTTTATCTGGAGATTTTTCACACGACGGCGAAGCCAGCCCGGAATCGTCACATGCAAAGACGACAGGTTTGGGAGTTTTCATACCTGCAGCATTGGCAGAGTGTGGCTGAGGATTTTGGCAGAATCCATGATGTAGCTGGAGGATTTGATCCATTCCTCGGAATATTTCCTCAGATTTGCAAACTCCTGCAAGGTGGCGTTGGCCTGGGCAATGATAGGGACAAGGACAAGGACGAGAACGTGTGAAACGGCCGGGTATCAGCAAGAATTCATAACCTGGTGTGTGTGTGTGTGTGTGTGTGTGTGTGTGTGTGTGTG